ATTGGATTATCCATTCATTCATAAAAATGAATGAACATCCAGTTTAAAATATTGAATAACAGTAACTTGACTTAGGCATGAAAGCCATGTGTTTGGTGTTTCTATCTTTAAAAAAAACAAAGATTTTAAAAAAGAAATATGAGAATAATTAATAAATTACTCTTCTGGTACCTTGGGTCACACCTGGCTACCTTTCGAGGGCGTGTTAGTGCGCCTAATTGCCCCAATTGAGAAACGCAGACATTAACAGGGGAAGAAATATGGCATAAAAGCCGTAAAAACAATCGCCAACACGAGCGTGTGAGGAAGAAAATGAGCAAAGGTAAAAACATATAGATGGACTTGCCAAGTCCGGTCGACTCTATTCTAACCAAAAATATTTGAGAGAAAGCCGACATTCGTACGTCTGGTGGTAGATATGACAATAGTTGTTTACTGTTTATTAACATATATGTACATATCTATTGTTTAAAACAAATTTCTTCTGTTAAGGATAATTTTTGGGGAGTAACCTATTTTAACTAAATTTTACACGTTATTATGTTTTCTTTCTTAACTAGTATTTAACATGTAAGTATCTTGATTAATTTATTTTTAAGCAATTTTAGTTGAATGTTATTTCTCTTAGTTTTTAAACGGAATTTATTAGAGTATCAATCAATATACCAAATTATTCATACCTTATTTTAGGAGTTTTCTTTTTGTAAATAGTCTAAGATATTTTAATCACTTTATTGTAAACATTTTGTTAAGTGTAGTTAAGAAAAAATAAGAATAAAAAGGAAAGTTATAAAAGAAAAAGACCAAATAAATAAGATATAAATAATTTAAAATGGAGGAAGAGAAAGAAAAGTAAATCGTAAGACGAGCCAATATAATAAATCGTTTTTATTTTTTAATATATATATATATATATATATATATATATATATATATATATATATATCTTATTTATTATAAAACGCAGATTGTGTGTATGTGTGTGTCTGTGTCTGTACGTTTATATATTTGATCGGATTTCCTACATTTTTCAACCGATTTCAACAAAACTTCACAAGACTGCGTAAAATTACCTTGCGGTGGTTATGACAGCGCCAAAAATTGGAAAAACACAATTTGAAAACACGATAAAACACGATTCTGTCGCCAGAATGAAAGGGAGACGACTCATATCGAGTTATACTTATTATAAAAACCTAGGTTGTTTGTGTGTGTGTAAGTCTTCGTTTATATATGGGATCGGATTTCCTACATTTTTCAACCAATTTTAACAAAACTTTACTCTTTTTTGTCTTTCACACTTTTTCTTTATTTTTACATTCAGAATGCTTTAAAAAATTCCATTTACAAGACAATTATTTAAAATAAAATTCTATTCAATCGATAGACTCATAACGATCGAAAACAATGTTTTTGTTTGAGTTTGGGTTTGACCAATTCGTAAAAAAAAAAAAAAAAAAAAAAAAACTAATTAAGACATGCGTGTCCGTCAACCTTAAACAATAATCTTTGTCAATTTTATTTTTCAATCTTTATGATGGTCGATACTTGATCTATCTCTTACTGTTACGTCCCCGGGTAACGCCGGGATGTACTGCTAGTATATATATATATATATATATATATATAGATAGATAGATAGATAGATAGATAGATAGATAGATAGATAATATTAGTGGAAAATATATATACATATGCAAAATATATAAATACCCATACATGTATATTTTTAGAATTTGTAGGTCTGATGAATTGGATCGTATTTACGATTCCAATGGAATAAATTATGACCATGGAATATTAGTGTTTAAGCCTTTTTATTATTATTATTATTATTATTATTATTATTATTATATATATATATATATATATATATATTGGTTTGTTGTCTTTTCTTCTTCCAAAAACCACTCTGTCTTGGCTGCATGTCGGAAGATCAGTACAACCAAGCATACCCGATCTATAACATCGAATAGCCCAAGTGAAGTCTTGATTAGTTGCTGTTTTCTGGAGGGAACTTATATAATGCACGTCCTAAAGCTAGTAGCAATTTTTCTTCTGGGTACGGGCCGAATACTGATCATATTCGGTCGGGTCGCCCATCTAAGAAATCTGTTGTTTATTTAGACCCGAAAATTCTAGTGACATGAGAGCAACAACACTGACGACGCACCTAGATTCGGCACTTAAAGGTGTATTTTTAACAATAACAATGCCCACTCACCAGCTCAGATATTTTTTATTCAATAATCTTACGTCATTATTCGGTTTTAATGCAGCCAAGTTTGTTTTTTTTCTAAAAATATTCTACACTTGCGCCGGCTACTATCACACGGCTTACTTCCTTTTAAGAATTTTTTAGGAGATATCCCAATTTTCGGCTTTAACGTTCCAGTAGTAACATTTTTACCACTCATTATCAACAGCTCCTATAAGTAATACTTGCTCTTTGCTACCACTGTTTTAGTCTAGAATAGAATATTCTTAATCCGACACATTC